ATTGGTATCAAACCGGGCACAGTGTTGGTAGTTAATAACGCCTCAGTGTGACTGTTGCTGCTATTGTAGCTCTATGTTTCACGTTTTAAACATGTTGCCTTCTACGTTGCACTTTTGCTCCCTGCGCACAGCACGCTCAACGCAGGCGCTCACTAACGGCTATCTCGCAAAATCTATCAGGCAACTTCTTACGCGGCCTGCAAGAGAAAATCTGGTGAAGCAAGAAACGGTCTGTCAAAATTCAGGCTTCACACGAAAGCTTCAGCAAAAAATGCCTACTATTTCATGGCCATGACCGGCTCTTAGAACCGTTTCTGCGCAAAGCCAAAATTTTGGCTTCTTCGGGATGATGATGGCAGGGACGTTGGGTTCAAACCGAACCTCGACTCAAGCAAAAAAAACTTTCGGCATGCTGCATTCAGCCTACATAACTAACTTGAAAAAATGTTCAAACCGTGTTTCCAATATACAAGCTAAAGGGCTTCCCACAGCAACCGGGCGAAGGAAGTCTTTGGCAATTTGTCGAAATCGCCCTTGTACATGGCCCCCAGCACGCTGCCCCTCAACTCACCGGAATGGCCCACATACAAACTCTTTGGAACAAAGCAGAACACCTTGGACTTTGCCGTGAGCTCGTAGCGGAAGGGCTTTGCGGACCCATCAGCCTGTCAACCAAGCAAGGTAGTAGGACAACCGCGCGTCCGCGATCAACTCTTTTTGAGGGGTGGATCAAAAGTGTCCACGCGAAGAAACCCACCAGGGTAGCCACGAATTGCTGCTCCGAGCAAGTCCTCTATACAACCCGCAACCCCATCAACACCAAAAAACAGCGCCAGACCTGCAACACGTGAAAAAATTAGATCCTGTCCTGCTGGCTTTTCCGAGAAGCTGCCAACATTAAATCCGAACAGTTCACCCGCTTTCAAAGTGATGTCTTTCTCAGTGCTGTTCACCAAAAACACGCGCCACGTCTTGGTCACGTAGACCATTACCTCCGGCTTGAGCAAGGACGGGCCCCTGGCCCAAAACCTAGGCAAATCAATCACCGCGCGCAACCTCCAAAGGCACAATGCAACAAAAACCAAGGAGCTCGTTGTCAGCCTCCACACGGGCAACAGGCTGGACGCACTCTTCGGGGAAAGTGTACGTCTGGGCGACATTGATAGGCTCCTCCGTCTCTTGGAAAACTGGAAAACATCCTGTTCGCGGAGGCGATGATCTGGGTGCATGAGGGCTGGGCGCACTTGTGGGCGCAACTGCACTTGCATTGCGAGTCAGTGGGCCACACGAAGCATTCCACTTCGCGACACTCTCCTTGCAGGTGGCCAAACCACCATGTTTGTCAAACACCACCTCAGGAATCCTGGGAGCGGTTGGAAAAGGGTAAGGCCGAAGCAACAATCAACCAGAACTGCTGCGGCGCAGTGACAACAAGAGTGAAACTCCAACACAACACACGTTTCACAGCTAAATCAAGAGAGGCGCGACAGGCGGCCATCTTGAAGGCACAAGGTCTCAAGGGTGGGGCGCACAGGCTGGGCAGAGGTCGTGGGACGCTGCTTCGGGCCGGCATCAGTGCACTCATCATACCATTCCTGAACCAGAAGGCGCTAGAAGCGAACCAGTCAAAACAAGAGCTCGTGCGAAATCACAATGAACCTATGCTTCATGCATCTCAGCTTCGGCCAAAACCTTTCCTGACACGATTTTTCTCAAACGCTCACACTCTTCATGGTCATCTCCTCCGGGGTGAAAGGACAGGAACTGCAGTGCCACAGGGCGCGTTCCTGAGGTGAGCTCTTCTTTTTGCATCAACCAACAGGCCAAACCAAACTCGTTAAACCTGCACAGCGGGCGACACAGCTACTGCCATGGATCAAATAGCACACGCAGTTCACAAAATAAATAGCACCAGACAAACAAAGAACGCGGAAGCGCCTGTTGCAGCAAAGGTCGATCACTGTAAACTTGTTGTTCCTGAATGTGAGACCTTCCATGATGCTCTCGATGATCTTCCTGCACCCCTCAACGCCCCTCTGCATGGCCTCCAAGCAGGAACTGTGACCAACCCCACAGTTCGACTTAAAATTGCCAATTGCGTAATATGAGCATTTAGGTTCTAAGCACGGTACCCGCGCAGCAGGCGTGATCGCTTTGTCATCACCAGCGGCAGCCAGGTCCATCACCCTGGCCCTCTCTACTGGGCCGATGGCGCCCAGGTACGCCTTTGACTTGACGACAGCTGGCTTGCTGTGCAGCCCCGACACACACAAGTAGCCTGGGCGCATCAACGCGTGGTAAGTAGTAAGCAAAATGGATTTGTGGGATTTCGCAGAGAGCCTAAACTTGCCAACGAAGAGCTCAGTTGTGAGCGCCTGCGGCGATCGTTTGCGCGCCCACTATCTTGAAAGACAATGCTAATCTCTTGAACCTCAAAGCTCCTGAGAACAAATTGCGAGAAGCCAGCAAAAAGGTTGCACAACATGTCTAACAAGCACTGTGCAAGCTCTCTGAACTTCTTACACTCGAAGTGAATGCAACACCAGGCCAAGGCACGCCATCAGTTTGTCTTCCAACATCCTTTTCTTTCGTATTGTGACAACACGGTCAGATGGAGTGGCTGGCACTGGGGTGAGGACCAGAAGGAAAGCGTTTTCGTTGCCATTCAGAATGGCTTTGGATGCGTCAATAGCCTGGTCAACTACTTCAACACCTGCCAGCCCAGAAAAAGTTAGAATACATTGAGACTGACATCACGACGCACTGGCTGGCTGCAGGCAGGGAACGCCCTGGCCATTACGTGGCATCCAAAATCAAGAGCGCGGTCCTTGGCGCAAAACACTTGCAAACACGGAACGAAAGACTAAGATCGTGATTCAATTCGTGGCAACACAACTGTTCGTCTGAGCGTCCCCTGTGGTCCAGCTTCATTATCCGGCTGCGCGGTGGCCAAGCCAATCGTGCTGTCTTTGTACTCATGACGCTTTTGCATGAACTCATCAACAAGACGCACACCCTTCTCATATCGTGCGTTCAAATATTTCAAGTCAAGGTGAGCGTTCCGGTTGGATTCATCTGCGCACGATTTGGCCCACTTGGTCATGCTCTCGAGGTCCTTTGCAATATTTGTCTCAAGCTTCTTCAGGTCAACGGCAGCTATCTGCTCCTGAAGCCTGAGAGATTGCAAACAACAGCCGGCAGGTTCCACCCCCCCGAAAAAACTGCTGAGCTGGAAACTCCACAAGCTCCTTCTCTCGCTTCTGGTCTGCCTCGCAAACTTATACACGCGCAAGGCCACCCAAAAAAACACTAACTGCGCCTCGCGCTGGAATTTGAAAAGCACGGACCGGAGAACGCTAATCGATTCCACTTTGATCGGCGGCACAGCGCCGTCCAGGGCGGCTTGGAGCTCTATGTCTGCGTACTTCAACAAGAACCTGCAGCAACATGGCTGAGATGGGTAATAATTAGCTGCAACGACCTGGAGCAACCTTAGGGTCTTTGTTTTGCGTGCACTTACTTTAAGCTTGAGACGACATTCAAGCAAGAAACCCTTTCTGTAGCTGTGGGAGTTCCTTGCTGGTGAAATCATCCGGCAGCTGACCTTTCATTGCTTCGACCGCGTGGATCCACGCACCGCAAACTCTTTGAAGGCTTTCCTGGGCAAGAGCGGCCCAAAGCCGCTGGTCTAGCTAAGATACTACATGTGCAAAACAAAGTCAACATTGGCCCAAGCGTCAACCTCCTTTGCACCCCAAGCTTTCCTCAACTTTACCGGAAGCGCCTCATAGTCTGAGGCCAAACGCTGGACCAGCAAATCAACCACAGACCTGTCGTTGGCAAGGTGGCCCTGCCAGGCTGAATAAGCACCGGTTCCCCCGTTGTACGAGGAATTGAAATATCCCAGCGAAAGGGGCTCGTGCGATATGAAGCGTGGCATGCTCCATCGCCTGGGCCCCATGCTGGCAACCACAAAAACCGTCTTCTCGAGATGGCAAGAACTAATTGCATCAACCACAAAAAGTGAGCTAGCAATCTTTTGCAACAAGCACCTTTAACCACACAAATGAACAGCCTAGCAGCATCACCAAAGAGGACAATTTCGAAGTGACATCCGGGTCGATTTCCTGTAGCAAATTGTATGCTGCGCCAGCCTCCTGTTTGCCTATGCTAAGAGCTTGTTGGAACTGAGAAGCATCCTCCCAAACCTGCCAGGTGGCAGATGACATGTGAAGCCCACTAGCAACTAACAACCTCGCCTTTTCAAAGTGCGCTGTGTCACAGCCATTAGACTGCAGGATTCGCAGCTGATGAAGCAGATTGAAAGCGTTCGGCTTCCTCCGAACGACGCTTTGAAGCGTCATGCCTATGCAAATCAGGGTTCAACGGCCACGATTCTTTCGATAAGTGACTTAGTTTAGACTCTAGACATCGCCGCGCCTCTGTTGCTTGCCAGAAGCAATGAAACACTCTGGCTGGGATCAGCTACTGTCGAACAATGCACTGCAGCGTATATGGTCCCCAACGACCTCAACTGCAAAGCCAACTCTCAAAGCGCAATCGAGAGGCTAGACCAAAACACTCAGAGGCTGGCTCCTTCACCCCGGCAGGCAAAGCCTCTTCAGCATGATCATCACTTCCAAATGGTTCTAAAAAACCGACTCACGTTGAAAACGTGCTTTGCGCAAGGAAAGAAACTAAATCTGCCTCAAGAAATGCTTCCTTCTCGTAGCAGCAGGCCATGATGGCCACTGCTGCAACTGACCGAGTCCACCCTTTAACGTAGAACAAGGCCAGGGGCGACACAAGCTCGGCATCACCAGCTATGTCGCTCATTGAGAACTTTGGGATGTCCTTCACGCAAGAACCGGGCGGAAGGCAGATCGACACCTTCTCAACCCCTCCAGCATCTGGGTTGGTCTGGAACCTTGGAAGAAGGCAAAACAAGAATCAATATGATTATGCTTCAAGCAATGGCAAGTGCTCAGGGGCTGACGTGTTCGAGATCACAAGTTCGCACAAGGACAGCAACTGGTCCTCAAAAGAACAAAGATCCCAGCAATTGCAGGAAGAGGTAGCAATTCTTAAAGGTGACAAAAGTTTGACTTGGCTCCCGACAGGCTCTACGTAGCCTTTGAAGCCACTGGAAGGGAACCATGTTAGGTGGAAAGGGCGCAAAAGCACCCCAGTTCCGTTGCGCTCCATGTCGCAGGTCTTCGCGTATACCCTCGGTGTGAGCACAACAGAATTATTCTTGCCGCCAAATTTTAAGCGTTCAAAGCGCCGGCATTTTGTCGTCTGCCGGGAATGTCAAGTCCATGAACTTGAGGAAACCCAAGACTTTATCCTAGCGGCAAAAACCGGCGACAGAGGGAACAAATACTACTCCGCTGTCCTTGTCGGCAAAGGTTGTGGCCATGTACTTGTGGAATGTCTCGTGCTTGGCAGTCACATCGCGCCTTAAGTCCACCAACTAAAACCAAAACGCACAAACTTCACATTGTAAGAAAAACTCAGTCACCCACAGCCACTCGCGAAACTCTTTGGTTGGCCCCTCGATTTCTGCGGACACCTTGCTTGTGTAGTCCAACATGGTCCTCGACTTCTTGCCAGAGCCAGGAGCATCCCCAAGCGATTTCCGTCGGGTCGGTGGCATGTTTCCACCGGCAAATCTGAAACAACAGGCCAAGAAGAAACGGCTGCAATGAGAATGCACAATGACAACGAAAGCCGAGCTGGGAAGTCTCCGCTACTTGACCAAATTCAAAGGCAGCGATCACAGCTTCCGGTCTAACCCTTAGAACCTATTACAACGCTCGATCATTTAAAGTGATAGCAACATAGTTTAGTTGACAATCAAAACGATAGCTTTAAGCGGTTAAGGATTTAGGGTTCAGGGATATTATTAATTTAAATTAGTGTTAAACGTAAGGCTTAACTCTCGATAGTTATCAGTTTGCATACGGGACCAAACTCTTGCAACGTGTTGAATGGCTTAAGTTGCAATGCAATTTTATCTCAAACTCCATGCCAATTTTTGAAGCCTTAACTCTGGATACATTTTCCAAGTTGCAAGAGTAACTAAACTCTCGCG